CTGATCCTAGACACACCATCTTCTAGCGAGCCCCACTATCGTGGAGTTTTCTTGTTTAGCTTGGACCTGGTGACAGGGTGACAAATGATAGGCCTGCCGCTTCTGAGATCTGACCTCCGATGGTAGCCATTGGACATTTAAATTCCTGCCTGGGGTCATAGTATATACCGAGGTAAAAGGTCTGTACGCCTCCCCTAACCTCTGCCCCAGAACCTTTCATTCTTAGATATTCTCGTCTTACTCCCTTCTCAAGACATTGACAGTCTTCTAGTTAAAATGTAAAATGCTTCCTGGGACAAGTAGAACTCCAGTCACTCCATTTACAAATTAGCTGGATCTGTTTACACTCAGAGAGTGGCCTGGGGGTTGAGAAGAGCCTCTTCTTGGGGACGCTGCTGAATGATCAAGGGCTAAGCTGGGGCTCCATGTGGAGCAAGATGGGAAGATGGGGAGGGTAGCAGGACCAGCCGTGTTAGGGCAGGAGGCATAGAGGAGCACTGGGACCTGTCCGGTCTCCTACCTTGTCAGACTGGGCCACCTCTCTAAGCCATCAAGCTATCTGGCAGCTAGCATCTGCTCCTGCTTGGGGCACCTATGATGCTGCTGCAGATGGAAAGGCAGCCTGGGTAGTGAAAGAGTACTAGACCAAGAGGTGGAGACTCCCGGGCCTGAAACTGGCTCCACTATCAGTTATCTATGTGATCTCAGGACTCACTTTTCTTCCCTGGGCCTCTTCTTCCCTCCATAAAATTATGGGGGCTGGATTAAACATTCTTAGGGACTCCCTTTGGCTTGAACGTGCTACAGCAATCCAAGGCAGCTAGCTCCTCTCTGAGGCAGCCCTTTCCTCCTCTGCGCTTCTCCCCATTGACCCAGGACTGTACTCTGGACAGTCCAAGGAGGCTGTGGCATAACGGGTCCCCTGGCTCCCTCCGCCCTCTGTGCCTTCTTTCACAATTTCAGTGAGGCTTCATTTGAAGCTGAAAGAAAGAAAATGGAGGCTGGAGGCTCCAGGCGAGGAAGCTGAACCAGAGAACCAGTTCTCCTGGTTTTTTTTTTAACCCTGCTGCTGCTGAAGTCTTCAGGAGCTGGGACAGATAGGAAGGCAGCAGGGGGCCTTGAGCAAGGTGACTGCTTCGTTGCTATTTACCCTGGGGTGAGCTGCTGTACTGGAATCAGAGACCAGAACAACCTGAGCTTTTTGGACCTGCTTCTCTGAGCACCTAGAGGCCCCCTCTCCACCACTCCAGGTCCTGGACAGCCTAAATATGCAGGAGAACACAGCCCTGCCCCCACCTCCTTAGCAAGGGACCCAGGGACATGAGTGTTTTGAGGCTTGGGTAAATCAGAGCCAAAGAGAAAGACTCCAGCATTTGCAGACTGAGGCAGCACTTTCAAGGGGAAACACACAGGTGTACAAAAAAGGTCATCATTATCCCTCTGTAAAAACTTGAGTGTTGGTACTGCCTGATATGTCAAAATGAGGTTTCATAGAAAATGCTGCCCAGAATGGGTGTCCTTTTGCTGGGGATGATGTGGCGCCCTGTAGTTATGAGGGAATCTATTTTTCGCTTGCTAATTTCCCCAGAATACAAAAGTCTGTCAGATTCTGGGTTTGCCTTCTTTTTTTAAGTGAACAGAACCCGGGATTACCTTTTCTAAATTCACAGAACAGATAACCTTTTGGTAGGAAAAGCAAAATGTCTCTGAATCTGAGCCTTATGATTCCTGGGCATTTCTAAGTCACCTGCCACAGTGGTCAAGCAAATTGCTGTGGTCTCCAGTCTGGCCCCTCTGCACAAAGCACCTCCAAGTGTGTGCTTCAGATGGGGCTCATTCGTGCACAGTTCTCCAAGGAACTGGAGCCAACATGTGACAAGATTCCAGGCCCAAAGGGGAGTGGGACCAGGGCCAGACCTGGCCTTGATCCCTTCATGATGTATGGCCCACATCAAGTTCTCAAGACCTTTAACTCTAGACCCCAGAAAGAGAGGGAGATTCTTAATAGGCTCAAGTATTCCTTAAAGAACCTCAATGGAGAATTTGCTACTTGGGGAATAAACGGACCTGGTATTGTATTTCTTCCCAGCATTATCGGGCATGGATCTGTCGGAGTTCTGAGGGCTTTAGCTTTTCTTCAGGGCAGGGTTCTCCCAAAGCCACCTCCTCCATGAAGACTTTTCTGATTCCTGAAGACCCCAGTGAGGTCTCTCCCTCCTAGCACTTTTTTTCTCTGAAACTAATAATCATCACAATGATAATGTCATCTTTTCTGAGCACTTATGTGCCAGCCATGCTGCTAGGAGTGTTCACATATGGCCTTATTGAATCCTCTCAACAACCCTGTCTCATAGGTACTATAATTATCTCTGTTGGACAGGAGAGGAAATTGAGACCTAGAGAGATGAGGTAACTTACCTGAGGTCACCCAGGCAAGAAGAGGCAGCCCTGGGCCTGACACTCACCTGGCTGACTCCCGCTGTTAACCATCTACCATCCTGCCTCTTCCTGTACTTGTATAACCCTCTGAGCACTTGTCTTTTGCCCATACTGCAGAAGTTGCTTCTTCCTTTGTTTCTCATTCATTCTTAACTAGTTTTTTTGTTTGTTTGTTTATCTTTATAAACGTCTATGTTAAGAACTACTCCTGGTATTGGTCTAAATTTATAAATTATCTGGACTGAATGGGTCATGGCTGACAATTTCAATGATGAATCGGGGGCCCAGAACAAGCAAAAGGACAACGCCCCTGTTGCTGATCATGGCTCTGTAGCTCGGCTGGTTTCTGGTGGGGTTGGCCCCATGCTCAGCTTTCCTTTCCACTCCTCTGTGTAAGGGCTGTAAACTCACCAGGGCAAGGGCACTGTCCCATTAATTTCTCTGGCACTTTGCCCAACTTGTTCCTGCTACAAGTGTTTTGTTTTTAGTAGTCAAGCGGATCACTGTTCCCTGCCTGCAAGCAAGTGGGCCAGAACAAGGTGCCAATTGCCATCTCCTAGTGCTGCCTGGAGCCCACATCTTGCTAATAAAAGTTCCCCTTTATCTCACACCTCACACATCTCACCTTAGCCCATAGTAGGCCCCCTCAGGCTGAGCTAAGAAGGGGGTACCTTCCAGTCAGCTTGCTCATCCTGCAGAAGGGCCCGCTCAGCTTCAGGAGGTTGAGAGCTCTTTCTGCTTCCAAAGCTTCCATTTTTCATGCTCTAGTCCAGCCTGTTGGCTATCTCACGTCTTTCCAGCAAGTTAGGTTCACTTCTTGAGCTCTTTTCTTGAGCTCTTATAGGACAGGCTGCAGAATGCCTGTGTATGAGGTTTACCAGCACCCTTCCTACTGCCCAGGTCTTAGAAACTTCTGAATCTTGGGCCTTCCCACTCCTGAAACTACAAGGTCTCTGCTTCAGGCCACAGGACAGCTTCCCACAGGTCCTTCCTGCCTTCTGCGCCTGAGACAGAGTGTGCTAGAGGTGTCTCTGGGGCCCTTTGGGAAAGGAATGCAGTCTCTCAGCATGTCCAACTCCTCGCTGCCTGGCCCTCCCACAGAGGCAGGCAGGCATAAGAAAACCAGCATCCAGAGCCCTCTCCGAGCCCTCTTAAAACTCCAGTCAGCTTTTTCACCTCCTGCCCCCTATATCCTGGCCTCTACCCTCTGCTCCCTCCTGGTCCCATCAGCTGCCACCCTTCTGGCCTGCTATTTTTCTGGTGCTCCACAGCCTTTCTGCTCTGAACCCATTTGGGCACCAGATGCTGCTCAGCTCTGCACACACTGGGGACCTCCAGGCTTGGAGTCACTTTTTGTGAGGAGGCAGGAAATACCCCCACAGCTGGGTTATTTTCCTTATTCTGGAGCTAGGTGTGGGGATGGAGTGGGAGACACTTAAGGGTTGATCCTGACTCTGGTCCCATGTGCCAGGCCAAGGGGCATTTCTGGTTGTCCTTGGTAGCTGTGCACAGAGTGGGCTTTGTCATGCTAGAGACCCCAGACCTTCCTGTGTCTTCTCTGTGCCTGGCACATCCCAGAGAGCTCAGCTCACAAAACTTTAGTCTGTCCTTGGGGGACTGGAAGGTCTGTGCAGCCCCCACACTCCCACCTCACAGTTACTTACAGGGCACAGAGCTTTCCACCCAAATCAAGTGCTTCTGGAAGCCTTGCTCCTGGTGCCCAACCCCTCCTGATTAGGCACCTTGTCACTAGAGTTCCCAGGTTTGCCACTCCTGAGCTGCAGGAGGGTCCTCTTTTGGCCCAAAGGCCTTATTTCCAGCGAGATAAGCTTCCTTGGGGTTTGGGGCCAGGCAGCCCGGAGCTCATCCTCAACACTTAGAACTCGGTTCTCGCCAGAATCAGCTTAGGGAAGGACCCCAAGCAGGACCCTCTGACTTTGGTGTGTATTGCCAGGGGAAGACCAAACTACACTGTATTAGCCTTGCTTCTTGGTGGGCCGCCAGCGTTCTATAACCCTGAGCTCACTGGACCCAATGTTCCTGGAGCTGACCAAGTCATTAACCCAGCCGCAGAAGTGGGGAGCCCGATACCTGTGAGGATGGATGGTGCTAAACCAGGCCTGCTCTGGTCTCAGAGTCAGAATTTGTGCCTGGTTAAGCTCTGCTTAAGTGCATGACTCGGAGCCTGGGTCCCAGTGATTCTCCATAAATATTCGTGGGATGGATACGAAAGGGGAATGTCCCAGAGGTGATGGGGTAAGAGAGACCTCCTAGAGGGGCATCCTGATGGCACTAGCTCAGTCCAGCAGGAGCAGGAGGTACAGGCAGGAACTGCAGAAATAAGCATTTCCCCCTCGGGCTGGGAAGCCAGGGACCAGCTTGAACTGGGCTGTTTCAAAATCTACAGGAAAAGGAGTGGCAGGTGGGGCGGGGCATGGGGCTCTGTAGCTCAGGAACCCACAGCTGCCGCCCATGTCCCAGATAGCACCGTGGCCTGGACACCTTGGTACCCCCACCCCTGCCCAGGAAGCCCGAGCCCACGACAATAGCAGGGACCTTACCCGGGCTGTTCCTCCGAGCTGGGCCTGGAGCTCCCCACTGCAGGCTGGTGCTTGTCTCTAGCCCAGGAAGCGCCACTCCCTTCAGGCAAAAAGGAAAAAAAAAAAAAAAAAGAAAAAGAAAAAGAAAAAGAAAACAGTGCTTTTCTTGCCCAGCCGCTTCTCCCAAAGACTCCTGGTTGGTGTCATCCTGCCTCTGTGGGCACACAGCCTCCTCCCTCCACAGCTTACTCACCGGTGTGCCCGTGAGGCTGCCAGCTGTGTGGGGGAGGTGGGGGGTCCACACCCCTCTGCCTGACACACACTGGAGCATGCCCTGTGGGGGCCAGGGGCTCAAGGGTCTGGCCTCAGTGCCAGGCCAAGTGGTGGTCCTGGCTGGGTCCTAAGTATGGGGAAGCCGTGCCCTGGCCAGCACCCTTCTCAGGTGACACACCCCTGTGAACTTGGCAGAGAACACACATAGATGCTGACTGGCACTGCATGGGAGAGTGCTAGAATTCCTCCTAGGAAGTTATCTCCTTAGTGCCCAGGGCTGTCAGAAGAGGGGGCAGCTGATGTACCGTCCAGCTTCCTGGCAGATTGGTTGGCTCCCATCCTTGGCCTGCCCCTCTGGACCACTCCCTACTTTGGCATCCTGTCGTGTCTCTGTCCTGTGGAACACAGAGAAGGCCTGGGATTGTCTGAGCTAGAGCTGCTCCTCACCCTGCTCAGGCCAGGTGCTTAATGTCCCTTTGCCAAATGACCTATCACAGAGCCTGCTCTGGCCCAGCATCAGTTAGGATGAATTGCTACCAAATTCCCCATCCCCTGCTCTCTCTGCAGGACCCCCTGCTGTCCTCAGCAGGGGGATTAGTATCTCTCTCTCTCTCTTTCTCTCTCTCTCTCTCTCTCTCTCTCTCTCACACACACACACACACACACACACACACACGTGGGGCCACACCCAGCACAGAGCCACCTACCTGCCCAGGCCAGCCTAAGCCAATCCAGCCTCGTTCTCCAAATGCCGCTCTGACCCACTCATTTAAAGAAATACCTCGTGGGAGGTGAGTTCAAAGCCAGCCCAGGAGGATCCCAGTCAGTGCTGACCAGACTCCCCTTCTCTCCTGATACCTCCAGAGGACACAGCAGCCAGATCACCATATCTGCTATTGCACTTTGTTGGCTGGTGTTTCTCCCTTGGCACCTCGGGCCCCCATAGCATCTTCCATATCCTTAGGGGGTGGCAGCAGACTCTGAGCCGGTCCCATCTTCCTCAGAGACCAAGGTAGGGATGGAAGAGCTAAAAGGGGCGGGACTCAGGTGCAGCTGCAAGTTTCCAGCTCCCAAAATAATCAGATGCAAAAGAGAAGGAAGAAACCTCCAGGCCAGCGAGTGACTCAGTGCCAGTGGGCTGGCTTAGTCACCTGGATGGCTGCTCATGGCTCCTGACACATCAGGCAGGGAGCAATGCCCTCCCCCACCTGCTGGCCACAGCAGGCTGTCAAAGGGAGCTTGGCCGGAAGCCCCAGCTGGCTCAGGGCTGCTTAGCAGGCAGCACCAGCGGCTCCGGCCTCCTTCTTGATCACGGCGTGCCCCTCCTCCACAGCGAACCCCGCACCCTGGCTCACTTTGGGATTTCTCCATTAAATCCTCAGGCAGCGACCTGCTCCAACGTTGCTTGGCAATTTTGATATCGTCGAGGGTTGCCATGGGGAGGAGGGTGATGTCATTGACACAAAAAAACCCACTGAATTTACAAATCAGCTGGGGCTGGAGCTATTTATAAAAACACGTTTTTTCCCTGCCTTCCTTTTCTGAGGGGGAGGGAGAGGAAGGGCTGCTGGCCCAGCTCAGTGGGAGCCTCCCCCAGTCCCCCAGAAGCCAGACCTCCCAGGCTTCCCACCCCCTGCAGACCTTGAGATTTCAGACCATGATGACAGTGGCCACAGCTGGGCTGAGCTCCCCTCTCTGGGTCTCAGCTGGTTTTGCTGTGAGCTGCACACAGGGGCTGCTGGGCAGTGTGAATGCTGGCTAGCTCCCTGGGTTAGCAGGGACTAAAGCTGACTTCTTCGTTTCATGGCTCTTGGTCAGTAACAGGGGCACGTACAGGTAGGTAGCTTGTGCTCCTCTGTGCACATGCCTACTTGTCAGCCCCAAGCATGCCAGGTGGAGCCTGACCTTTCACAATGCCCTCATTCTCTCTGAGCCTCCCGGCCTCTTTCACTGGTCCCTTTTCTTTTCCCAGTGTCCAACTGTGGGACACCCAAGCCCCAGTCTTGGCCCCCTGCTCCTCTCTCCCCACACATACCCACACTACCGTTGACACACTATCCTTTCTGTGGCTTTGACCATCAACCTGGAAGTGCATACCCTAGAGCCCATCTCCTGCTGCCCTGCTGTAGTTGTCACCCTGACCCCAGTGCTCCTGCTCCCAGTGCCCACTGCTGTAGACAGATGGAACCCTGCTCTTTGACTCTGCCCACCCCCAGCCTCTTACATCCAGTGTGGCACTAGGCTGCTCATGTTATTTTTGAAAACTCTTTCATAAATTTTTTCTGTAGTGAAACGATGTGGTGTTTGGTTAAAAGCCCAGGCTCTGAGTTTTCACATTCCCGACTTCATGTCCCAACTCTGCAGTTCATTAGCTGAGTGACCTTTGGCATGTTATTTAACCAACGGAGCTCAATTTCCTCATCTACAAAATGGGAACGATTTCACCTGCCTTCCAGGATTGCAGGAAATAAGTGAACAAAGCTCCTGGCACAGAGACCACTCATCCTGAGAGCTCAATAAACATGAGTTTTCCTCTCAGCTTTCAGCTTTCATGACTATGTTTTGCCTGTTGCTCATTCTTATCCACCCACCAACTGGCAGCAGGTTAATCTTCCAAAACGATAACCCCATCACCTCCTGTGCAAAGATCTCAAGCTGCACACACAGACGTTTTGATTGAACTGCACAGTATCGACCCATATAGCATTAATCATAAAAACTTTAATTAGATCCTCCAGCTACCAGCCATGGAACCCACCTTAGCTCCATCTTGAGCAGGAAAGAAATTTTTTTTGACAGCCATCAAGTAACTAACTCTTAGCTTTGATGAGAATTTTGGAGCATCAAGTTCAGGGAAGCCTCGAGGTCTCCAGGCATCAGGACTGACTCTGCAGTCTCCACATTTCCCCGTACCTGAAGGGAAGGTGCTTCCGCTGCACACTTCACCTAGTGCACCTAGTCAAAGAGCAGGGAGCATCTGGTTGGCAGGCTCAGGTCGAGGGCCCACCTCTAGCTTTGGTGGAGGGGAGGGTGGCCTGGGCACAGTGCTTCTGTTACCAGATGTGATATGGTGAAGAAGATGAGGGTGGTGGAGGCCCCAAACCAGCCATGGTCACCACGGCATATATGCCACCTTTTCTAATCATTTTAAATTCCTGTGCATGATAATTAGTAATTGTTGATTCTTTGTTCTTCTTGTCTTCATGGACTTCTGAAAACTGATGGCCTGCACAAAAAGACGCATTCCTCTGGTCTATCATATTGCATGCCTTCTTGATTTGGTGAAAATATCAGCAAACTTAGATGCATTTTTTTTTTCTCAGATTGTAGAAAGGAGGGGGATCTGCCAGTCATTGGAGGAAACCCTGCAAAGCGTGGCTGCCTTTTGCAGGGGGACAGGCACATAGATGACCGTGTTCCTGGGCCAGCGATGTGCCCTATGCCCTTCTTTATCCCAGCAGAGCCACCTCTCTGCTGACCCCAGTAGGCTGTGAGCTCTCCAGGGCAGGAATCTCAGCATGGTGCTTGGCACATAGTAGGTGCTCATGCAAACTTTGTTGAATGAATGAATGAATGAATGAACATCTGAAGAGGTTCTGTGCTCTGGCCAGCCTTGAAGCTGAGAGGGATTCTAGAATCATCAGCCCCGCCCCTCTTCCTATAGGTGAGAAAACAGCAGCGCTGAGGGATTAGGTGACTCAGTGAAACCACAGAAGAAATTAGAGGCAGAGTCGGGACTGGAACGTGGCTTTCCCTCCTCACAGGCCCCGTTGTTCCCTTTGCTGCCCACACAGGCCCGTTCTAGCTTAAACCCTGAGTGTGATGTATCTGTAATTCCGTTAAAGGCAGCAGCAGTGCTGTCACCGAGGGCATTTCTCCCTTTGAATCTTGGCTCCCAGGGTGGCCGCAGTGTGAATCAGCCAAGATGGTATCCTTATAATTTCTTCATAAAGTCTTTCACTTGAAGCTTTTTGTTTGTTTGAAAAGGACATATACTTATAGCCTCAAAAGCAACTTGCCCCATCTGCACCATTTTGGTGAGTTAGGTTCAGCTGGAATGATTGCTTACATCAGTAATGTCCCACGGCATGGTTTTAAGTGAATCATTTGAGGATGTGTTTAGAAAGACCACATAACAGTGAAGTTTAAACATTTTCCTAAACTAATGCTTCCTAGGCCTTCCCAAAGAATAAAAGTTTCAGAAGCAAAGTCTAGGGTTCTGTGGGAAAAATTCTCTTTTACTGCCAATTTTTTTTAGATTTTTAGATTCATCCCCACACTCCCCGCCCCCTTGTGCTACATGTATAGATGGTGCTTTACTCAGGTCTTTCTGATGGCTGAGTGGGCCTGTCCTCACCTGCCTACACTCATCAACACCTCTCCCCGCAGGCCCAGGAAGAGAGGAACAGATTCTGCATGACTTCACCCCCCACCATCCCAAACCAGGGCAGGCTCCAGAAAGGAAGGGCTCGGATTAATGAGTAGGTGTCACTGGAGGTCTGTGCCCTGCACTCCAGGGCTGGTGTTACCTCAGAGGTCTCCCTCAGCCCTGGGCTTCCAGGAGACCCAGATCAGAGGTAGGGGCCCTGCCTTCAAGAGATTTTCCCAAATGGCTTCCTGCATGGCAGGTGATGTATCTGGGGAGCAGATGCCTGCAGGGCACCCGCCCACCCTCCGAGGTGCTGGTAGTAAAAGGGAGGATGACCAGGTCAAGTCCTGGGGGGTCCTCCGTGGGAAGGAAGCTTAAGGGCCTTGTCAGATAGGGATGCTGTGTGTGTTCCTTCTGTGCCCTCTCCTCTGGCTCTG